GCAGCATAAAGTCCATGCGGAATGGTTTGGTACTAGCCGGGGGGACCTGAGGAGTATCAAACGAGCGGTGTATAGAGAGCTGCTAGAGGTGGCCTATTTCAGACTGCAGGTCGTCAAGAATGCAAGGAGGGAGAACCTCTGTCGATACTTGAGGGAACAGACTTACTCGATAGAATATTTTCACGACAGAAGGGTTCTGTTCCGGCTGTGGGACATCAGGTGGAGGCTGTATCATCAGGTGTATGACCTGCAAGGGACCAGTCCCTGGCTTCCCGAGTGGGCACAGGCCTGCCCCAGACTGCAGTGTAAGAGCGGGCTGTCGCGAGCAGGACGGCGCAAAAGGAGACGGTGAGGCACTTGGTCAGCGATTGCCCCGCGGCACGTGCCACGTGGAAGGCGGTGTCTGAAGCGCTGGACTGGCTGGATCTGGGCTCCCAGGACTGGGAATCGGTCGTGTCTGGCACAGAACCCACTCCTCCATTGAAGGGACCCAGGAGGAGGGTGCCCAGGAAGCGGCGGTGGAGAGAGACCACGGCTCCCGAGACATACTGGACTGTACCGTGGTCCATGATTAGGCTGATTAATCTGTACGTACTGTTGGCGCTGTCGCTCCAACGCCACAGAGAGATAAAAACGCGAAAGGTGGCTGACATGGCCGGCTCGGTCAAATTTGTCCAAGAGAAGATCTTTTGGTTGAGCCGCAAGGAAAAAGGGAGGATGCCGCCCAGTCGGTGGAGGAAATTGTGGCCATGGTTGAGTGGGGCTCATGCGCCGATCACGTAATGTACGTATACCGCTCATACATGGAAAATGTTGGTGAGACGCATGGCATGAACCTATCAAGGAGAAGTCTGTAGAATGTTCTTTCTGTAAATTTGATTTGTAAAGTTTGGGAATCCTGTAAATGTGTGTACATTTGGCATTTTGACACCTTGTAAATATTGGATGGTGTACTTCTCTATTTTTGTAACGTTGCACTTTTTGTGCCTTTTGTAACTTTTGTAGTAGGCTTTTATTTAAATAAAAAATTTCAACCGAAAAAAAAAATTCAACCTAATACAGGCTGAAAATACCATTGAAAGTAACGTGATTTTGAAAGAGCCACCCTTGAGTAGCTTTTTCAGCAGAGCTCATCGTTTCCGCCCATTGCAAACACATTCCAACAATTAAAACCATGACGGGATACCTCGTTTTCCTAACCCTACAGTGGGGCACACCCCACTGGAAAACGTGGTATTCCGGCATGATTGTCCTGGTTTGAATGTGCTTAGAATTGGCAGAAATGATGACCTATGCAGAAAAAGCTACTCAAGGACGGGTTTTTCACAATTGCATTCCTTTCAATGGTACTTTCAGCCTATTTTGGGGTTCTGGATTTGCCCCTGTGTAGGGTTATGGTTATGAAAATGAGGTATCCCGGCATGATTGTGACAGTTTGAATGAGCTTAGAATGGGCAGAAATGATGAGCTGCTCAGATAACGCTACTCAGGGAGGAGTTTTTCAAATTCTCATGATTTTCAATGGAACTTTCAGCCTATATTAGGATTAGAGGTGTGCACCAGGGTAGGTTTAGGGTTCAGAAAACGAGGTTTCCCGTCATGGTTTCCATGGGTGGACTGTGTTTTCCATGGGCAGAAATAATGAGCTTTGCAAAAAAAAAAAAAAAAAAAAAGCTACTAAAGGAAGGCTTTTTCAAAATCACATTACTTTCAATGGAACTTTCAGCTTATATTAGGGTTAGAGGTGTGCTCCAGGGTAGGGTTAGGGTTAGGAAAACGAGTGATCCCAGCATGATTGTGATGGTTGGAATGTTTTTGCAATGGGCAGAAATGATGAGCTGTGCAGAAAAAGCTGCTCAAGGAAGGCTTTTTCAAAATCGCATTACTTTCAATGGTACTTTCAGCCTATATTAGGGTTGGGGGTGTGCACCAGGGTAGGGTTAGGGTTAGGAAAACTAGTCATGCCAGCATGATTGTGATGGTTGGAATGAGCTTGGAATGGGCAGAAATGATGAGCTGTGCAGATAACACTAATCAGGGAGGGGTTTTCCAGATTCTCATAATTTTCAATATAATTTTCAGCCTATATTAGGGATAGGGGTGCTCACCTGGGTAGGGTTAGGGTTAGGAAAAAGAGTTATCCCAGCAAGTTTTTTATGGTTGGAATCTGTTAGCAATGGGCAGAAATGATGAGCTGTGCAGAAAAAGCTACTCAAGGGTGGCTTTTTCAAAATCGCATTACTTTCAATGTTACTTTCAGCCTATATTAGGGTGAGGGGTGTGCACCAGGGTAGGGTTAGGAGAACGAGTTATCCCAGTTTTGCTAACCCTCACCCTACCCTGGTGCACACCCGTAACCCTAATGCAGGCTGAAAGTTTTATTGAAAACAATAAGAATCTGAAAAACTCATCCTACAGTAGCTTTCTCTGCCCACCTCATCATTTCAGCCTATTCTAATCACATTCCAAGCACATTCAAATTATCAGAATCGATCTACGATACTGCGTTTTCCTAACCCTAACCCTACACTGGGGCACACCCCTAACCCTAATGTAGGCTGGAAGTCTTATTGAAAATTATGTGACTTTGAAAAAGCCCTCCCTGAATAGCTTTTCCTGCACAGTTCATCATTTCTGCCCATTGGTAACACGTTCCAAGCATCAGAATCATCCCAAGATACCTCGTTCTCCTAACCCTAACCTGGGGCACATCCGTAACCCATATATAGGCTGAATGTTCCACTGATGAGTTTGCGTGCCATCAGGGAGGGCTCTTTGTGCCGCTTTGGTACATGTGCCTGAGGTTTGCCACCACTCATATATATACGTTAAACAGCAGAGGCTGAGATGGAAACCTGAAGGACGTGGCAGGGCAATGGACACAGTATGGAAGCCGAATCCCCCAGTTCCATCTTCTGAAATTGCCACTCCAAGAAGGACTGGACTATGCAACTGGGCTTCCAATGCCATCTCAGGCAGATGCCTTAGGGTACCATAGATGATAATAGTAACAGCCACTGAGAGGTCTAACAAAATCAGCATGGACTCACTCCTCTTGTCACATTCTCAGTTTTATCTGATCTTTCACCAATGTGAAAAAAGCAGTGTCTGTCCTAACCAGGTTTAAAACCAAACTGAAATTGATCTAGGTACTCTGCCTTATCTAGAAATCCTTACTGAGAAGTCACCAAAAGCTCCAGCACCTTGCCCACAAATAGATCTTTGGATATTGACTAGAACTTATCCACTATGGTAAAGTTCAGGGAGGGAATTTTTTTTTTAACAAAAGTCTTACCGCCACCTGTTTTAGGCAAGAAGGAATCACACCTTGTCATAAAGAGGCATTCATCACTACCCTTACCTACTCAACCAATATTCCCTTAGTTACACTTAAAAACCAAGATGGGGAACAATCCAAAACACATGTGGTAGGCTTCACCTCCCCAAAGATCAAGTCCATATCATTTGGCCCTACAAACAAATAAGTGTCTACTATAAATAGACAAGCAAGGACCAAAGTTACATCTGCAAGATCTGTATCAACTATGATATCCAAATAACTATGGGTAAAATTGATTTTATATGCAAAGTGTTACACAAACTGCTCACAGAGTGGTTACTGAGTGGTTCATTTTTTCTGCTTACAAGTTAGAATGTAATATGCCACTGAACTCTTGATTAGGAGACTCTGTGCAGACACAGTGGTGGGAGAGCAACAGACGTTCTTTACTACCCTCACTGTCACAGCATAAATTTCAAAATGAATTCTAGCTCATGTTTAGTTGAATTAATTCCAAGGTTTCTGTCAACATCACTCTAGTCAACATTTTACTCATTTAATCATCTATAGCTCTATGAAAAACAGAGGGTGCATTTGACTCCATTCCATGGGAGAGAATTCTCAGAATCAATTGTGTCAAGTGCCTGAGTCATTTTTCCATTTCAGAGGTCAACCAAGAGTTGACAATACTGCCTAATGAGACAGAAAAATGCCCAAGAATCATCAGAAAATCATCCAGACCAGCTGGTCTTCCATCTTATCCCATGACTCTGACTGCATCTTAATTGGCCCTCCATCACTGCAGAAGTTCTGAATCCTAACAAAACTAAACCCAACTAGGTAGTGATGTGTCCATGATAATGGAACTATATGGTTCCAACTATGCTCCATACAGATCATCATTATCCCACCCTATACAGAAAATTAGATCCAAAGTACATCTGTCAAATATGAGGAACTGGATACTAACTGGGACAGACCCACAGTTATCAAGACTATGAGATCCTGAACCACTCCTGATAGTATGACCTCAGCATGTATGCGGAAGTCCTCCAGCAAAACAAGTCTAAGAGACCAGGACTCATCCCAGCTTCTGATACAACTCCATATTTCAGTTTAATTGCCCTTATAAAATGTTGAATAACTTACAGAAACAGCAAAAACATGTTAACAAATTTACCAATTATATACAGGCACATTGTTAGAAATTAATTAACACAGATGAGCTGTTTCAGAAGCACTAAAAAATCAGTTAGGGTTTTCATCAGTGGTCTTATAAAATTCTATGATGCAAATTACATTGAATGTTCAACAAAAAAGCAATGAATCTTGGATAATACAATTCCATAGTACCCTATTTCTAATTTAGCAATACTGCTTTGAATCCCAGAGATGAGATGCACCTTGCAATGCTGTGTGAGGTGCAGTCAGTAACACATGTGCAACAGAACCTTGTCTGGTCATATAACCAGACCTGTTCAGGCAGGAAATTTTTGTGATACTATCAATCTTAGGGCCAAGATTCAGAAAAACATAAGTTTTCACTAGCATAGGGCTTTCTGCACTCTGTAGCACAAGCCACCACATCATCATCACATTCTAAACACAGAAAACACTAGATCATGCTACTGAAACAGGGACAGATATCACACCCTACTGTCCTAATAACAGAAACAAAAAAATCTTCTATCCGTTAGAGAAAGAAGGAAGAAATTCTTACCTGAGCATACCAATATGGTTCTCCACGTTCATGGATTTTCACCATACAGCTCAGACTGACATTCTTGCCAACTAAAAGTTCATTCATTTGTTCCATTTCCATCAGTCCAGTGTCATCCACAATATCAGCTGTGTCTATTGTTTCAAAATCCCAAACCTTTGGAATTTGGAAAAGATTTTAATTATTGCCAAATACTAAAGCATTTTCAGAAAAATTGTGAAAATATAGACCATATGAAAAAACCTAAGAGAGCAGGTGGAGATTACTCCAGTTCCTTTATGCAGAAATTCTGCCACTTCCAGTGTTCTGTAGTGGTTAGGGTCTTGCAGGGTGAAAAAAATTCTCTCCCTGGGGTCTTGCCATCAAACTTCCCATCAAATTAGAGGAAAAAGTAAATTTATTATCAAAATGTATTATCAAAAGAGCTTTACATAGACAGAAGGGCAGCAGAGAACACATAGAGCATGTAAAAAAACCTTCATACTTCAAGGACCATGGACCATGCCAGCTTCCTCTTGACATGCAAACAGCAGTAGCTTTAGAAAGCTTGAGAGTGTGGTAAGGAGAGAAAGACTTAAACTTCCTCTCTCCTTACCTCTTCTAGTCCCAAGGCTGCCACATTAAGTGCATCCACATAACTAATCATAATTATTTTGGCCCTTAGGCAGTTGTATCAAGCAGGAGTGGGCAACATGTGGATCTCCAGATGTGCTGGCCTACATTCCCATCAGCTCTAGCCAGCATAACCAGTGGTGAGGACTGATGAACAATTTCCAGCATCTAAAATCTCTGAAGCCTCCACAAGTTGTTCACCCTATGTTCAGGTCCGAAGGACTGCCTTATTCCATTGAAACGTGCCTATTCTTTGAGTAGACCATAGATGGTCTACTCCAGGTCATTCCCACTTTGACAAATAGCAAATGTGCTGGCACCCACACCTGTAAAAAAATCATCCCAAGAAACACTCACCATCAACTAACCTAAAGGGTATCTAGTTAATGAAGTATATTCCACTAGCAGAAGTTATAACTGAACAGGGGCTGTTTTGAATGTATAGAATGTATAGTTCAATGTATAGAATATTAACATCCTTAAACCATGAATAAGCTTGGGTGCAGACAAGCTTTGTTTACTTAATACTTCTGTTCTTAAAAAAACACTCACTCTGATATATCCGTCTGATCCAACTGTTACCACCTCTCCTTCATCCAGAACTAACTGATTCACTGGGCCATTGTGACAATTTTTATGGCCAGGTCTACAGAGTTCCACTTTTATAAGGCCTCCTTCCCAGAGTAACAAATTGCCCCATTCTGACCCTGAAAGTACCTTTGATGGAAATGATATAGAATAGATTAGTATCATATTGCACTGATGTACATGAAAGAAAAACCATGGATAATATACTGTTTTTCTATGAAAGCTGAATTAAGCTTTTCACAAAGAGTAATTCATTTATTGGACAAAATGGCAAACAGAATGAATGTCTGTAAGACTTGGACTGCAATCTTGTACACATTTATCCAGGAGTAAGCCCCCTCAATTTTAATGGGCTATAGGTGTAGACAATCACCCTACAAATAGATTGCTATCAATGTAAATATAACTTGTATTTTTATATCCTAAGGCCCTGAAATGTTTTCAATAGATGTTTACATAACATGATTCTAAACAGCTACTGAGCAATTCTTAAAAGGAAACAATTTACACATTCTGAAAGCTCATATTTATCCATGACTTTGCTTTTAGTGTTTGTTGGCAAACTGCCATCTCAAAAGCCACAACCACTTTCTTTTCAATATCATTAATAGCTAATATCATCATATACTACAGAATGGGAATGATCACCCCAACTTACTGCAGTAGCAACAGAATAGCTATCCCTTTCTACATAGCAGTGCCCCGCCAACTTGGATCAGAGGCATGGACTTCACTTTATACTGTGGAAAAGTCTGAGGGGATAGAAACTCTTCTCACCTTTCCATCTGGCAGCTCCACATAACCTTCAATGTCTGTCAGTGCTGTTTTTCCAAACCTACCCAATGCTCCTTGTAGTTTCAAACCAGTGAAAGTGAGGGCCATTTTCCAAAACCTGGCCACATAAACATCAAAGTTAGATTCTAAATATTTTTCAACATAGTATGATAATGCACTAGACAGCTGTGCTCAGATATAGCAGTAAATCATTTCCAGTTATGGAAATAGGTCCAATCAAGACCTGACACACATTTCTCCCATTTCTTCTTCCACCATAGTCAAAAAGGGATTGGAAGCTTTTGCTTCCATTTTCAACTAACTACAATTACTCATTTCACCCAAACTGAGAAGTGTGGTTAGAGTTAACTATAGTTAAGGGAAACAAGCCTATAGTTTAACCCATAGTTAAAACAAAGTTGAGTTTTTCTGGGTTTGCACATAAGGTATAAACATGGTTAGCTGAAAACAGAAGCAAACACTTTTAGAATTTTTCTGGTGGCTGTACCAGAGGAGAGAGGAGAGCACATAAGTCCTGTGCTCATATAATATTAAATATTAAATTTTAATAAATTTAATATTAAATATTAAATTTCTAATATTATACATGAAATTTTAAACCACTGTTCACCATTGCATGCAAGCCAGGCCACATTATTTCTGGAAACTACAAGCACAACATATTGCAAATTTAGACCTGTTTTGTTTAAATGGATGGGAATTTAAAATAGTGTGTGTTCAATTGTGTGTGTGTGTGCACACATGAATTAGCATAGGTTAATTCTGATGTCTGTCCTAGTTACACAATATAGTATGCATTATACATTCATTTGTATTTAAAAATTTAAGTTTGAGGGATTTTCCAAATAAGTGTAGGATAATTTTGTCATGGTTCAGAACATTGTGTTCATAATGTTACCATCCATACCCATACTACCTGGTAAATTCAGTCTACTCACAAAAATCAGGAAAGAGATTCATTTATTCTGGGCTGATCTGGGTTAAATCTGGTATGATGGAGCCTATGCCTTCTCTATGTATATCACCATGATATTTTACTTAAGATAAAATATTTGCTGGGGGCAGCCTTACTTTATGTGACCTGAACCTGATGTGGTGAGTTGCTCTTCATTTTCTGGAGAAAAGGTGACTCTGTAAACATCTTGTGAAAATGCCTTTGATCTCAATACAATATTTTCCTGTTTCCAATCCCAAACTGTCAACATATAGTCAGGGCTGCTCCCAACAGTGGCTATCAAGGTACCCGAACGATTAAAGTCAGCAAATGCATATGCATTATCTGTTCCACCTAGAAATAAGGTGCAATAACAGGCTTTGTAATAGAATATAATGATGGAGAAAATATTTTGCCTCCCCAGCCAGTTAGCATTTTGTTGTTGTTGATTTTACTTTTGTACCACCCACTATCCAAAGTTTTCCAGCATAGTAGAACACTCATAAAATACAAATAAAAAATGTACTTCAGATGTTTAAAAATTAAACAACTCAAATAACTAAAGTTAATGACAATCCTGTTAAAACAGCTGACATAACTCCCCCAGGTATTATATAGAGATGTCAAATGCCTTTGTATAGCGGACAGTCTTAATCTGGTGCTGAAGGGATAAGAGAGTTGGAACCTGGTATGCCTCAGTGGAAAGATCAGGTGACTGGCACAGAGAAGACTGCTTCCCGATTGCTGCCTAATGAACCTCCCTCAAAGGTATCACTCAGATGCAAAGCACTATGTCTGAGGAGTGGCAGTTCATCAGGGAATGCATGTGTGACAAATGAAATAGAACATTATTGAAATAAGTACAGAGCATCCACAGCACTTTGAGGCATAAATATAAGGATATAAATCTTTAAAAATGTGGGCTGCAGAAAAGCCTACTGACAATAACATGGACTTTTATAGAAATTGTGGCTATGAATCTCAAATCTGGAATATATGTGCATAATAAGCATTTATTTTTTATGCTTGGTAATATTTGAACCACAGTCCAAGAGCTGTTTTAATTCATAACTCCTCTTTGTTTTTTCTTATCAATTCATGAAATATAGATTAAAGGCAACAATCCTTTTCACCATTCTAGCCAGGCTTCCATGCATCTCTCTAGGATAATCCATTCTCTCTAGGATAATCCATTCTCTCTCTCTCCCACTACACATTCAACATTTCCATGACTAAGCATGCTCAATGTGCTGTTTTGAGGAGATGGTATTCACTGAAGTTTTCTCCCTTTAAACAATCATTCTAATTCTGTGAAACTTCAGTTCCTATGCATGGATGGTGCCATTTTTACTTCATATGGATCTATACTCAAAGAATTCACTGTCAGTATATAGGAGTACACTCAAATAATTTCACACTGAATTATACCTATGAATTATTATCATACAGAAAACAGATCATTCATAAAAGATGCTAAAAGGCTCTAAGATGGTTGACTTCTCAGCTTTAGTGTAAGGTCATTAAATTCAAAAATTGAGAAAAGAAAGTTTGAGTTATGCTGTCTACAATCACCTTAGACAACAGAAAATAAAGCAATTTTAAAGAATGGAGGAGTAAACACCTTCATTCGTTTAACATTTGGTCATTTAACCATACGTGTCTTTTTCTGTACCATGATCACAGCAAAAAAGCATATTGCACAATATTTTTAAAAGTGATGTTATTAAGTACTTACATGCCTTTTTAAAACAAAAGGTGGCTATTTGCAATAAAGCCTCATCTGTTCATACAAAAAAATCTAAAATACTATACTGCTTTCACTTTTGAGATTTATTTCTTCTGCAGATGTCTGGAATTGTGAAAAAAGCAACCTACCTCGTAATATCCTGTATGGCCTTAAGGAAGGATACTCATAAATAATCATATTTGGTTTCCATCCTTTTTCTCCTACTGCAAAGTGTGTTTTATTAGGGTGTACCTGATAGAAGCAAAGCCTTTTTTAAAACTTAATCATCTTCAGCATCATCTTTTTTACATTTCCCCAGTAAAATATTCATTTAAATTAGTACATTTCTATCCCACTTTTTAATTCAGAAGGATCCCTAAGGTAACTAATATTACACAAAGGCATTGGGGTTGCACATCTGCCCTTACAGCAAATCACATATTTCTGGGGTGCCACATTCCACTTTCTCCAGGCATTTCAATGTCCAAGAACAGAGATGAGGAGCCTGCTACAGCTGCTGTGCCTCATTATCAACAACATATTGTACATCTGTAAAATGAACAATAGAACATACTTGGGGATATCACTGTCTGCTTTGCTGCAGTTTCCCCTAACCCAAATTATCTTGTTTCCCTCGAGCAACATGTGTACGTAGTAATGTCCTAAAAGGAAGAATTATCAATGGAACATTCTGATGAGCGTGCTGCTATTACAAAAATATGAAATTAAACCAAGGTTTGGCTGAAAGCAGCAGACAAGGGCAGTGCCTCAAATGGAAACCACATGACTAAATGAGAAAAAACTTCCCAACAAATCCTTCGTATTTTTCTGCCAAGAAAGAACTTCAGCAAGAAATCTTACAGAATAAATGCCATACCGTGATGATGCCAATCCCTCCACCACTTGTGCTCCGAAGGTATCTCTGGTATTTAAGTTTCAAATCCAGAAGTACTAGTTGGTTGCCAGCGATATAGAGGAGAGTCTGACTATCTAGCATCTGGATGTTTGACCGTTTAGTGCAATCATAACCAAAAGAATGCCTGAGGAACAATTACTAAGGAAAATAAGTCATGCTCCAACCTTCATTTTATACATGCAATGATTAAATCATTAATAATAACATCCAGAGAAAGGATGCTAAATACAGTACAATTTTACTTCCAATGATTATTTTAAAGTTTTATAGCTGGGAGCAATATTGATAGGATTTTTGTAATATGAGAATATATAGATGTAGCCAATTCATCTTTTAAAAACAAATTTCTTAATCTGTGGAGACATTACAGATCTCCACAACATTAAAACACTATGAAATTCCTCAAAACATTTTTCCATAGCAACTCAGAGACAGAACCAGGCTTAGTTTTTCTGTAAATATGCTAGAAAGACTGAATTATTTTACTGAAAGCTAATGGAAAACTTCCTACATAACTGACACTGGCTGGAAACAGTTTAGAACATCCAGCTGAAACCAGAAGTGGTCTGATTTTTAAAAATGCACTGCTGCATCACATCCATCATCTCTGGTCAAACAGATACAATATTAAAAAAGCTGCAAAATCTGTCTGAGTAGAGGTAAAAATGCACACCAAGATAAGTGATCCTTATTTCAAATTACTTTCAATACCCTGAAAGAGCTATCACTCATTTCCATCTGACTGTAACTTCTTCCCTATTCCAGGTTGCTAGTGAGATTTTTAATTTTTATTTCTCATGTGCCATTACAGTCACTGACATATGAAAAGGTTTCCTGCACCTACTTTTAAAAGCACATTGACTGAATTTTTTAATAGTTGCTATTTGTGCAAAGAGGGAACATCACTGGATTCCGTATTCTGTATAATTCTAGATTTTCTCCTGATAATTTTTGTATTTCATTAAAGAGATTCTCAGATCTTTCCTTCTGTCCACACAACACTCCTGTAAAGTAGGTGGCCAAAGGACACCCAGTTAATTGCAGGTTTCTCCTGCAAAAATCCAACACTTTAGTGGGCACATATTTTATGTAAGCCATTTTCACCCAAACCCCACATTATTTCACTGAACACATTTCTAATACAGAGTTATTTTTTTTCATGGGTGATAGTGAGTCATGCTTTACTATGTTTATAAAAGGAAACTCAATTCTAAATAAATGCAGTATTGGCAAAGCAGATACATGAGAGAAAGGAGGTTAAGTGGTATGCCAGAATCTGGAGTCACATATGGGAATGAGCATAACTCTTCATAGTTATAGTAGAAGCTTTCAGATATTTTCTTCTCTACTGGTACTTTTTTCTTCTTTTTCACAGGTTCTGGAGGCTTTTCAGGTTCAGCTGATTCTTCTTCTTCCTCGTTTTCTGGATTCCAAAACAATCAGCATAAAGAAGGCATATACTCCTCAGGCAGATAAGGAGACAGCCTTCTTAGTGGCTGCACCTACCCTCTTGAAATCCTTTCTAAGAGAGACCTTAGATGAAGACCTCACAGCAGATAAGTTAATTATAGTTCTAATGAATCTGTTTATTAATATTTCAGTTTTTAAATTTGGCTATCTATTGTGTTTTCTGGCTCCTACTTTTGGGCAAAATCCTATACTGACTCTGAGCCTCTGTTACTTGTGTTACTTACTTACTCTGTTACTTACTCTTACTTACTCTGTGTTACTTACTTACTCTGTTACTTACTAGGATATGGGAAAGAGCTGAGTTGGCAAATGGAACTGTTTACTAGTACACCAGAACCTATTAATTTTATAAAGAAGCCAGGAAATGGGAAACAATGCTCATTTCCAAAACAAGACAGATCAAGCAGAGCTTTCTCCTGAGAACTGTACTGACCTGCCCCATTCTAGAAACAAGCATTTTTCCTTATGTTTCTGGAACCTTCTAGAACCATTAGTTCCTCATGCATTTGCAGTTGGTTCTGCCAGCACACTGGGAGTATGAAATATAATTGTCAAATATTTATCAGGAATCACCTAGAATACTTACATAATGCCTAGAATATAATATTTTAAAATAAATACCAGAGTTTTGTGTCTAGTTACAATTGATACATATGTATTTGCTTTGTTTCTCTCCAGCAGAACTATACCAGATAGAAAGGCTTCTGCATGGAAACCTGGACACTGGAAATCTGAACACTGAACTGATGTGTAGATGTCCTAAGCTGTAACATATCCCTATTTGTCATATTATGAGAAATAAAACCATTTCAGAAAGAAATATTTCTAGGCTGCCTTTAAGAATAGTTATAACATTAACATTCATATAATAACTGATATAAGATAGCAAACACTCATAAAGCAAAAGCCATCAAAAACAAAAACTAAAACATAATCAGGAAAGACCAGAGAAAGCAAGTCTTCACAGCCTTCCCAAAAGCCTGCAAAGATGGGGCCTGATGGGTCCCTGGTGGCAACCTGTTCCACAGGTGGAAAAAGCCCTGCCTCGTATACTTACCCATTTAACTATCCCCAAAATGGGCAAATAAGAAGGATCTTTGTTATTGATCATAATGTATATTTAGGCCAGTATTGGTGAAGAAGCTGCTTTAAGTAATTTGGTTCCAATATGTTTAAGTCTTGAAAAGTCAAAAGCATCACTTTACAATGGGCTTGAGAAAAAAACTATACTTTTTGTGGTTTTAGCAGAATGGGTGGATAGAGGGAAGAGTGGCAAGATATGATCTGCAATGGCTCCGCAGGACTTTAACTGAAAGGTCTGTCTTGGGCTCAGGCACCTGGAACAGTGGTGCTGGTGTAATGGGAGAGGAAAGACACCTGAGAGGATTGCTGTACATCTGAATAGGCATCAACCTACCTAACATCACGCAAAGTCTGATTATCAAAAGACTTGAAAAGAATGACAGAGATGATGATTATCAAAAGGAGCATAAGCATAGGAATGCAGCTAAGAATCTTACAGCACAATCCTATGTATTTTTACTCAGTAATGGGTCTTACTGGTTCAGTGGGACATACTCCCAGATAAGTGTACACAGAATTGTAGCCTTACATCCTAGGAGGCATTCCAATTCCTTGTCAAGAACAGCCCTTAGTACAATGGTACTTTCAGTCTGTGGCCAGACTCCAAGGGTATAAAGCTAGCTATAACCCCACATCTCTTATTAGCCTCATAGTGATAACAGGGCAAGTATCAAATCTTAGTAAATTTCATATGGATATCAATGTCTGGTGAGCCAGACTTATGTGTTGCACTTCAAGTTTATTAGCTAATAGATTCAAGTCCAAAGGTCACAAACAGTGATCTTGCATCAGTGCTGGAATCTAGAGCCACAGTTGTCAATATTTTAACCACAGGTCCTGGGGCTTAAACCCACCTGTTAACAATACGCTGACCAGGAAGCTCATTACCTCAAATCCCAGAATTAGTTTCATACTTAATCTTAATGAGGATTACTCAAAAGGTATGAAGAAGAAAGAATTGGATTGAAATTTATGTCTGGAGTCCATAGATTGTTGCCAATACTCACGCTCACTGCCAGAACTCCCCTCACCCTCTTCTTCTGGTTTTTCTCCTTCCTCTCCCTCAGTAGGTTCTTGCAAACAAGAAAGTGAGAGAACTGTGTTAACTTCTGGGCCCAATTCAAAGTGCTCATGCTAACATATAAAGCCTTAAACAGCCTCCTCAAATGAGGAGGGGGACTGTTGGCAAGGAAAAGGGCCTTCTTGATCATTGAACCTCACCTTTGAAATTCTCTTCCAAGGGAGGTGGGACTAACACCCACTTTATCTTGCTTTCAGCACCAAGTTAAGACTTTTTATTTAGTATCTGTTTTGAGGTTGAATTATTTGTTTGCTGCTGGTTTTTTGCTTTATTGTTTTATTGGTTGTTGTTATTGGTTATATTGTGTTTATTTCCTCCTGTTTCCCATTTATATAGTTGTGTTTATATTGTATTTTAATTCTATGCTTTATATTTTGTTATTGTTATTTATTATCATATACATATAAATATATATATAGCACTGTAAGCCGCCCAGAGAGCCTCCAGCTATGGAGTGGCATGCAAATACAATAAATAAATAAAAATGGCTCTAGTGCCCATTCACATACATATACTCTGTGGTCTTATTACATTAAATGGTGAAAGAGAGAGTCTAAACTTTAAATCCTGTAAGCCCAGAAAAGCTGTATGTGTACACACATACCCATTAGACTAACCCTACCCATAAACACAAGGTTAAGCACTGGTAGATGCTACTAAAATAATTGTTCACATGCCCAGCTATACATGAATACATGAAAAAAGGGTCAGTCCTCTAAATCTGAAAGTGTAGAAATATGTTCTCACAATTTGTTATAGAGCAAAGCCAGAAATGCATCTGTTAAAGTTGAACCACAGTTTATGAAACTGAGTGAAAATTTCAATGGACACCTGTCCAACGTTAGACACTTAAATTTGATATGACCAGAAATACATTTTAACTGAGTGCTTTGTTGCTTAAAAAAATCCAAAACCTTTTTTTTTTTAAGGTGTTTGATAGTCTTGAAACAAAATGGGAATTCAGCTCCTTTAGGGCTACCTAAAAGGCTTGTTCTAAGTATAAATAATGAACGTATGAGATGAATTTTAAGAAGAAAGCCCAATTACAGTGGTGGTGAACCTATGGCACATGTGCCGCAGCAGGCACACAGAGCCCTCTGTCAGCACAGAAGCCAAGTCACCCCTACATTGCCCCCGCAGCTAAGCATTGGATAACAGCGCACATGCCCCCATGCGCATGCTTGGAAAGAAGTAGTGGTGCCAGGCGATGACATCACAAACCGCACCAGGGTAGGGTTAGAGTTACAAAAGCGAGGTGTCCTGTCCTGATTTTGATGGTTGGAATGTGTTCAGAATGGACAGAAATGTTGAGCTTTGCAGAGAAAGCTACCCAAGGGAGGTTTTTTTAAAAATCACCCTCTTTCCAATGGAAATTTCACCCTATATGAGGGTTAAGGGTGTTCAACAGGGTAGGGTAGGGTTGGGTCACAAAAATGAGGTGTCCTGGCATGATTTTGATGATTGGAATGGGTTAAGAATGGGCTGAAATGATGAGCTGTGCAGAAAAAGCTACTCAAGCTTGGTCTCTAAAGTTTCACTTTCACTGCCCTATTCTGTAAGATCTGAAAGAAAGATGTAGAACAATGCCCAAGAGTCATTTTGCTCTCAAGCATAGTAATTCATATCCATCTAGTGTATGTATAATCTTTATGTTCTGTAGTAAATGCCATGCAAAACAGCATTATGATTAAAGTCTTAAGAATTTGTAAGCAATGCTTACCATCAGGTTCCTCCTTTGCTTCTTTCTTCTGTCCCTCTGAAGCTGATGCCCTCTTTCCTCCTTCTGGTTGTTCATTCTGACCTGCAAACAAAATGACACGGTATGGATTAATCTTCTGATAAAAGTATTTAGAAAATGTGGAATGTATATTTCTATGTTTATTCAATATATCTGTGTATACAGGTTGTTGACAACATTATAATTGAACATTTTAAAATAGAGTTCAATGGAATATTTCCAGAAGCATAAAATTAATGTAACCAGCACTTTCATGCACAAGATCCTGAAAGAAATCAAGAGGGTGACTACCCAGGAGGGCCTTCTCTGTGTTGGAGCCCTGATTGTGGAACATGCTCCCCAGAGAGTTTCACCTGGCGCCAATACTTCTACCTTTTTGCAGTCAGGCAAAACCCTTTTTATTCTCCCAGTATTTTCATTATTAATTTGTTTTAGTGGAGGGTTTACATTTTAATCATTGGATACTGGGCAATTGTTGTTGTTATTCTTGTTTTTGTTTTTTAACTAATCAGCTGTAAACCATCCTGAGACTTTTAAATATGGGATGGCATAGAAAACCTTTAAATAAATAAAAATCTATAAGAAAAAAACACTAAGTTCTTTGAGTAGAAGGCTAAATTTCTAGTATTGGAGTAGTATCTATAATTAACATATATTAATACAGATGCTTTAATTATGCATATAATAATCTTCATTTACAAATTTTATTCTAGTGTCATATTCAGCATTTCAAATATTCTGCATTTCAATTAATTGCCTTTTTTAAAAAAATGGCATTTCCTTTCAATCTGTATGTATCAAAGTAATTTCCTATTCCTACTAAGTCCTTTTATCATAGGAGAAGCATTAGAGGAAGTCCAGAGAACATGCTGGACAATCCTTGCAGTTAGGCATCCTTGGATTAAAATAGCATTGCAAGATCTCATAGAAATGAAATATAAAATTATTTCTAATTCAGACAATAAATCAGTATAAACTAGAACACTTCCCGTAAAACCAACGTTTCTATATTTATGCCATTAAAGTAATCCAGGTCTGCTTCCTCTTCCCCTGTAATTCTTAAGATTTGTAGTATTACAGATAGTTATGCTGATAGCATTATTTTGTGGACCGCTGCATTTTCTTACAGAGGAATGAGAACATTTGATAATTCCAAACAAGAACTGAACTATGGCATACACCCTTTGTAATCATAATCCAATTAACTATGTGCATGCCCTAAAACAAAGGTTGATCTAGAGTTTCCCCTGCAGCAGCCAGTATTGTTGAAGAAGCAAATTGCCATTCGGTTTAAAGAACAATTACATCCCAATCCTATGCATGTTTCCTTAGAAGTAAGCTTCAGTGCATTAAGATTTATTCCTTAAGTGCATTTAGCATTGCAGCCATATTACAGTGCCAGGAGCTATTGTTTTTGCTGAAGCACACACAGAGCCTCTCTTTGGAAGTCCCAACGTGGTAATACCAGCACACACAAAAACTTCAAAAAAATTATTGAATCTTTAGCATTTTATTATTTTCACCCTAATCCTGAGAAGCAAAATGTACCAGGAACTACATACAAATAATCAAAGCCATGCCCACCTCAAGGCACAATGCTATGCATATTCAGACAGAAAAGGACATATAACACGAGCTATGTTAATTAGGGCACACTGGGAGTTATAGTCCTACATTAAATTTAAGTGATTGCTAAAAAGGCTCCTTTTATTAAGATCACTTGGGGTCAGCTGCAACAGATTCTGGAGTAGGATAGAGAGCAGCTGTGACCTCTCCCACCCAGCCCAGTGCAGTCAAGATAATTGCTTGCCCCTAGGATGGCCCATGTGTTCTTCTGTAAACGTGTTCAGTCCTGTATTTGAAGAGCTGTCCAGTGCAAACCCAATTTAAAGATAAAGAACCATCACAAGCAGAGTTGGGCTTTGAAACTGTCCATCCCCAACAGCTAGATGGCAGGCTGAGCAAGGCAGTTTTTCTGTTCAGTCTTCCTCACTGTAGTGAAATACATTTCTATTTAAAGTTTTATCTACATTTGAATCTATGCATATATATATATTAGGATAGGTTATGCAAACTAGCATTCTCTTTTCTGACAACGCATGTCCCTCTTTTTGACAATTCAAGTGGGCCATCAATCCCCGCCAATAGTAAGTCTGTATAGGAGTGCGTACATGTATGTGTGCGTGAGTAGCCCACAACAAGCACACCGCATGCTGTCCTCAGGCTCAAAAGCTTTGACTGTAATACAGTCACAACACTGTAAACAAGTTTTCAGGTGCACCATAAATAAATGTGTTCTTATGTTCCGGTGACCCCAAAAGCTTACGCACCACCGTGGGACATTTCTCCTCAGTTTTCCCCAATCTGCCGCCTTCCAGATGTGTTACACTGCAAGTCCCATCCGAATGATGGGATTTGCAGTCCAACACATCCGGCGGCCACCAGGTTGAGGAAGACTTTTTGATTTAGGAAAGCCCTAAAAAAAAAAAAGTATTTCGAGAACGTTTCCCGAACGGAACGTAAGAGTATTGAGGGAAAGTTGAGAGAAGCAATGCGCGGTTACCTTTTCCATCTTTTCCCTTGGGCTCCCCTTCCTCCTCCATTCCCGGTTTACTCCAGTTACTAAGCAACCAAATTTAAGGCGCGCAAAGATCGTTGGGAAGTTGAGTTCGAAAACATTTGTGCCTTAGGGCGCCTGCTCAGAATCATTAAAAAAAAAAATCTAAGGCTGGGCTGACCGAGGTTTTTTCTCTTCTTTTATATAGCCACCGTTCCCTGTCACGCTCTTTCTGGTTTTGAATATGTTGTTTGCACAAAGATTTCAAAGTTGTACATTTTAAAAGGCATTCTGAAGAGAAGGAGCTATGCACTACTCGTTTGTCTAGATTTGCTGTTACAATTGGTGTTTTGAGAATTGAGTGGTAAACCAAAGAGCGAACATGAGTTTGTTTTATTTAAACGTATTTTTAGCTACATGTAAGGGTAGACTAGTTTTCACGCGGAGGCTGAGTTTAGTTTCTTCCTTTGCTTATTTAATTGGTATATGCCACTCGTTCAGTAGGCTTCCTCCCATGGAAACGTGCAGCGTTCCTGTTTTCTTAGAAGAAAGATGACTGCATATGTAAGTGGTGACACTTGACGTCACAGGCAGAGAAGCGAAAAATCTGCCTTTCTTACCCCGCCCAGAGAAAAGCTCACTGCTACTTGTTGCAACGTTTGCCTTTGGGGGGGGGGGGTCTTCTGTGCTTTCAACGACTGTGTGCTAAACAAATTTAGCATGTGAAGTTAAAGATGGGGAAATAAAACTGCACCTGTTGATTTTTCTCCAGGCAATCAGTGGAATCATACCCCAGCTTACTTGGAAAAACAAAATCCAATTGACAAGCCAGCTGTAAGCTGTTAAAGTCATCTCAATTAGCAACCCTCCCTGCATTCCTGCTCTGGGTTTTGTTTCACGGGATAGTGCAGGTGCAGCGGTCAATACCAGTTCAGAAAACAGGAACACCCACAATATCAGAAGAGTTTGGGTGAGCTGTGCTTAACGTTGCACCGGCTGAGGCTGTTCGTAATTTTCCTAACAGCCCTTGTCAAGGCATTCCCATTGAACTTGAAAGGAGGGGGGCGGGAAAATGAATTTGGAGGCATTTACTCTGCGATCTACGCACAAGTAAATTGTTGGCGAGTCTTTGGTTTTGCTAGCCATATTAAGGTAGCAATAAGCGTTTGGTTATCTGAAAGCAGTTTTCATAAGCAGTTTTCGTGCCAGAGCCAGTAGATGTAGAAAAGTCTGAGTATAAAAAATTTAAAAACTAATAGCTTGGTCGTAAGCCGATTGCAGGTTTTTTACTTCCAAAAAAACTTTCAGAGGTTCTCTTTGAACAGCAGATAGCACCTTCGAATTGAACGAGCTAAAGGCTGCGATAAGATGCCCGCTTACAGAGCCGTTAGTCCCACTGAATTTAATAACTTGCTTTTGAGCAAAGGATTTGTGTTCAAAGTTCCACTCATTTCAGTGGGTCCACACCGAGAAGGAACAACATGGCTTAAAACTCATTGACAGAATGGCAGTATAATCTAAGAAGGTCGAGACCTGCGAGGCGGGGAGGAGCTGCTGCAGGTAGTTAACAAGGCGGGCGAGATGGGAGGAACGAGGGAGGGGCCCTTCACCTGCAGGGCAAGGCGAGTGCTGCACCTACAGAACTTTCACTGCAGGGTGCTGCTAAAGGATATGGGAAAGAGCTGCAGCAACAGGTGCTGCAGCAACCGAGCAAGAAGAAGGAAGTCGTGGCTTGTATTGTATGTCTCCTTTTTAAGGGCCGAGAGAATCCTTCCTGGGGAGAAAGGTGACGAGAGGACCCAGGTGAATCCTCCGTAGGCAGAAAACCCGGAAGAGAAGAGACGTCTCTTAGAGGGAGCTTGTTGTATTTGGAGGAACGCCCGGGTGAGGTTTGCATATAAGCTCCGGACAGTAGGAGGAGACGCCATGGCCTGGAACTGGCCGTGGCAACACCAAGTGCTTTTTTTCGGCCTCACCTGCCTCCCGACAGGTGAGTCGGGGTCCGGGGAACGGCGCTAGACGACGAAAGAGAGCTCACTGCTTTTGTCCTTGCTCTTTCGTTTTTCTCTCGCTGTTTCAGTGACTGCTGTTAATAGGTGACCCCTACCGGAGTTTCTTCCCACTCTTGTTTCTTCTTCCCTGTTCGATCTTTTTCTATAGGAACTTCCTTAGGAGGATCTCTTACCTCTGAGACCGATATCCCCAAACTATTTTTGTCATTTTACCTTCTAGCTGAGAAAGGAGATTGCAAAATCTCTTTAATTTTTAGTTTGGAAAATCCACAGAAATTAAACCAAAAACATGGCCATTTCTTTTAAAATCTTTTTCTTCCCCCACCCCCTCCCCAGTTGTAAGCTTAAATCAATGCTTACGGTTTTTGCCTACAGAGAGAGCTCGAACAAACTTTGGTCTCCTGCAAGTTAAATTCAAAGGGAATGGAAAAATCATGCATGACGACTTCTGAATAACTGAAAGGGGTGTTCTTGTTGAGTGCTAACACTGTGTCTGTTAGCTGGATTGCAAAATTAATCCCGTTCATTATTTGCCTGCAAGTAAATCGCAGTGAACTGAGTGGTACTTGCTTTTCTTAGCTATGATACATGTAATATATATAGAATGATGATTGTATATGATATGTAGATGGGGATAATTTTGTATTATCTTAGGTAATCAACACAACGTAGATTTGCTGCGTGGGTGGGAAAATACCTGAAAAAATATGCGGTAGTGAATGAGAACTTTGTCTTATATGAAATTTTTACATGAATCTTGGCCTTGTTAATTCAGGAGCAAGCTCTGCTGTGTTCAGTGAAACCTACTGCCAACTATGTAGGATTAGAATTGCAATCTAAAAGTACACATTTTATTTCTCATGTCTATTTCAAATGTAAATATGATTTTTATCCAGTAGTCTTCACTTTCCATCCAGCATTAACTGTTCATTTGAGCACACAGTACAGAAGCTATAAACTTGCAGTCAAAGATCTGTGAAACCTTTGTAATACATATTTTCCCATAAGTGAATATTTAAGTTGAATAAAAATATGTGAGTAATTTTAAGGTTGCAGCCTTAGCATTACTTCTGAAAATTCACAGCTTGGTTGAGAGTTGGTAGAATCTTCTGCCTATATGTGAATGGAATTGTGCACTTAACTGCATTTAAGGAAGTACTGCTGAGCTTAAAGGAACTGAACTTGCAGATAAATTAATGAAAGATATGTATACACTCATTAAATTCATATTCGTTCGTTCCTGTGAGGGGAAGTGAAATTGAAAGCTTTCTTTCTTTTCTTTCTTTTCTTTCTTTCTTCCAGCCAGGTGGTATCCAGAATACTTGAGTTATTCTGTCTAGCATAATACATATTTATATTAAGTTATCTCAAATGGTATTGCTATCTGTAGCATTACTAATGCCAATAACTTTTTTTCTTGTGTTATCTTGTATGCTTGTGATATGGAAACCCAGGAATCTGGCAAACACAATGTAAACTTGAAAAATGTTAGTGTTAAACTATAATTGGATTTTTAGACATTTAGGCAATTGTGTTTTTGCCATATTTTCTTATTTCTGGATTTTTTTTCTTTCCTGCTCTGCATGCTGTTACTGAGGAATAGAAAAGCAGATATGTGGAAAATGTGGTATATAAATCTAATAACTTTAAAGGCAAAATCTACACAAACTCTAGCACAAAATGTAGACTGCATGTCAGACAAATGTTGCTTAATTTTGCTAGGAAAGCCTGAGATGAACTTTATACTCTGGATTGTATTCAGTGTGAAATATATACAGTGGTACCTTGGCTCACGAATGCCTCAGTTCACAACCAAATCGGGTTGCAAACAGAAATTTCAGAAAAATTTTGCCTCAGGTCGTGAACTCCATATCAGGTGATGATCGTGCCCATTTTCCCAGCAGGTTCACAGTCATGCTTGGGGGGGGGGGGGGGGAGAGATGGCCAGGATCTTTGTTCTTTGTTACTTTGTTGTTGTTTGACACTTTGTTTCAATTTTTTTGTGATTAAAAAAATGGGTACAAAATAGATTAACCTTATTTGCATTGAACCTTATGGGGAAATTTGACTTGGCTCATGACCAGTTTGGGTCGTGACCAGAGTCATGGAATGGATTAAGTTTGTGAGCCAAGGTATCACTGTACTGGGGTGAGATGCATTATCAAACTTAACAATTTGAGAGACCTAGCTCAGAAATGTAAAGGTCTAAAATTTTTGTATAATTAAGTTATTTTGATTACCATTGTTTAAATATGTTAATGAAACACTGTATATGTTCAGTAAATGCAGTGTAATTTTAAAATGGTGCAAGAGGAGGTCTATTATCTTCGATTTCTTCTGTTTTGAATCTTAAATTGTAGAAATAGGTTTATAATTTTGTCTAAAATTTCTTTTATAGGTTAGTGGTTCTTGGATGTCACATTGTAAATCTTTTGGAAATTCTAGTAGCCTTATATTTGAGGCAACACTGTTTGTTTGTTTTTTTTATTTTAAACACCATATGGTAGCATGTGAAGTTTAGGATACCCAATTGACCATATCTTGCAAGTTTTTTTTCCTTTTGTATTGTTACTGTTAGGTATGTATTTAAGATAACTTGCTCACTGTCTAGATGGCTATAGGGTAAGTCAGAGTCCCTGGACCACCCTTAGAAATTAATTCTGAGCTCAGAGATGGGAATCCAACTGGTGAGTGTTTGCTCTTTAAGCATTCCACACTGGCTGTGACTCTGAAGTTGCAAGTGCACCCCTCAGTTCTGACAAGAGGTGGAAAAAAGTGAGACATTGCCAGGATAAGAAATCGGCCATTTTGCAAGCACATGAAGGCAATCCTTGCCTCTTAGCTCTTTCCACACTTAACTGGATGCCTATAACTCTCCAGGTTCAGAAACTTATAGGCAGATATGTTGGATAGCACCCTTTGCCAATTTGAAATTTTTTTTTTCTAGAATTTGGATTAGTACTACTTGGGGAAATGTAAATTTAAGGAGGATATTCATTTTAACTGGTTAATTTTCTGAACCATAGTCCTAATTTTCTTGTGTCCACTTTTTTTTACTTTGTCTTAATGAGTTAAGATTTGTTTGTTAGCTTTAAGGTGTGTGAAATTATTAGGGTATTTCACATTGTACAGGTATTCCTGACTGCTTTGAAAGTTTTTGTGGGATTCCTTCAGATTTTTTAAACTGATTAAACTGCCATAATTCCATAATGTCATTTATTGCCTCTTAAGTGATTTCTTAGGATGTATATATGATGTATGATCTTATAAAATTCATTCTGTGCTCTCTCGCTTCCCATGACTCATTACCATGTTCCTTCATCTAGTTTATACACATCTATGATAGAAGCTTTTAGTATTTCTCCAGTAATGTCTTCCAAAGTCTATCAATCCAGAAGTGAGAGAAAACAAGTCCTGTGTTTCTGATTGGGCAACAACTGTAAGATGCCTGTGCATGACAGCCATTTATAACATACAACTTATTCACTCAGCTAATAGGCTGGCCCTTTAGAAAGCTTCATTTAACTTGAGGTCCTTTTACACTGCTATGAAATCTCAGCACACTTCCTGTTTTATGCATCTGATTAGCAGCATGCCCCAACTTCTATTAAAAATACAGATTTAGTAGAACTTAAGCCAGCAAACTTGGAAAACTCAACAGTGGCCACAGGATTGGAAAAGGTCAGTTTACATTCCGATCCCAAGAAGGGCAATCCCAAAGAAGGTTCAAACTACCGCACCATTGCACTCATTCCACATGCTAGCAAAGTGATGCTCAAAATCCTACAAGCTAGGCTCCAGCAGTATGTGGACCGAGAACTACCAGAAGTACAGGCAGGATTTTGAAGAGGGAGAGGGACTAGAGATCAAATTGCCAACATACACTGGATCATGGAGAAAGCTAGGAAGTTCCAGAAAAACTTCTACTTCATTGACTATGCTAAAGCCTTTGTGTGGATCACAATAAATTGTGGCAAGTTCTTAAAGAGGTGGGAGTACCAGACCATCTTATCTGTCTCTTGAGAAACCTATACGTGGGTCAAAAAGCAACAGTGCGAACTGGACACGGAACCACTGATTGGTTCAAAATTGAGAAAGGAGTTTGGCAAGGCTGTATACTGTTGCCCTGTCTATTTAACTTATGTGCAGAGCACATCATGAGAAAGGCGGGGCTAGATGAATCACCAGTTGGAATTAAGATTGCTGGGAGAAATATCAACAACCTCAGATATGCAGATGATACCACTCTAAAGAGCCTCTTGATGCGGGTGAAGGAGGAGAGTGCAAAAGTAGGCTTGCAACTCAGCATTAAGAAAACTAAGATCATGGCATCCGGTCCTCTCACTTTCTGGCAAATAGATGGGGAAGAAATGGAGGTAGTGACAGATTTTATTTTCCTGGGCTCCAAGATCACCGCAGATGGGGACTGCAGCCAAGAAATTAAAAGACACTTGCTCCTGGGGAGGAGAGCTATGGCAAATCTAGACAGCATACTAACAAGCAGAGATATCACCCTGCCGACAAAAGTGCATATAGTCAAGGCTATGGTTTTCCCAGTTGCAATGTATGGTTGTGAAAGTTGGACCATAAAGAAGGCTGAGCGCCGAAGAATTGGGGCCTTTGAATTGTGGTGCTGGAGGAGACTCCTGTGCGTCTCTTGGACCGCAAGGTGATCAAACTGGTCAGTCCTAGAGGAGATCAACCCTGGCTGCTCTTTAGAAGGCCAGATACTGAAGATGAAACTCAAATACTTTGGCCACCTAAGGAGAAGGAAGGACTCCCTGGAGAAGAGCCTAATGCTGGGCACAATAGATGGCAAAAGAAGAAGGGGATGGCAGAGAATGAGGTGGCTAGATGGAGTCACTGAAGCAGTTGGTGAGAGCTTAAGTGGACTCTGGGGGATGGTGGAGGGCAGGAAGGCCTGGAGGAATGTTGTCCATGGGGTTGCGATGGGTTGGACACAGCTTCGCAACTAACAAAAATAAGAAAATTCACAACAGAAGGAACTTGGATTAGAAGTTGAGGAGTACAATTTGGCTGAAAATTGTTCTAGGTTACTTGGTCTATCTTAAGCTCAGAATTGTTCTGCATTGTGAAGAGATTGTATGAAGGTCCCAGCTACTCATACAGGCTTCAGCTGCAAAGTGAAACCATTTGTTGAGACAGCTCACATAGGCTGCTGGTGCTGGGCTTCTGGTGTGCCTCTTAAAGGTAGAGAGAATAACCTATTGTTTTGAAAGTTCTTTCCCAGAGGGTGTCTTCTCATATAACTTTCATACATATTAATAGTTGCTGTTGATGTTTTTGGTTCCAGGTTGCTTCTCCGTTCTTGTGACTGTGCCAGATACTGAGCGATACACAACATTATTTGCCTCTGTGATTCTAAGGTGTGAGTACAGTACCACAGCACCACTACAGGATGTGGTAGTTACCTGGCGCTTTAAGTCCTTTTGCAAGGATCCTATCCTTGACTACTACTCAGTTGGTGAGTGCTGCTAATTACTCCTGCTGCCACCAAGGGTTACTCTCCGCAATCTGAGAGGCATGTTGAGGGACATTTCTCAGGGAAACCTGTTGAACAGAAATGTGGGGTGTTGGTCTCCCAAGCCTCAATTCAAGACTGCAAGAGTGACAGTCATAGGATTTCACTCTAGTAGATAGCTGCCTGTGCATTTATGAAAACCTTAAATCCTGTACTTTTAGAACTCATGGAATCCATGGGTCTGTGATTTTAGAAAGCCTCAGTCTACTGTTGTAGGTGATACTCCCGCTTGGTTCAAGTATTCTCAGCTTAAGGGTTGGGAGAAGGGAAGAAAAGTAAATGTCCAGACTAACTGAAGCCTTCTAATATCAAGGCCTGCTAGTGAGTGCCAATGGATTACAGTCACCATACGGCCTCTGAGAAGCAAAATGCATGCTCAAGGGAGCCCCAGAGTTTGCAGAGATGCCAAAAAAAAAAAAAGAAAAAAATATCCAAGATCTAAGGAGCCTTAACTCCTCAGAAAAATCCTAGTGTGGTCTGAATATGACTGGTTGGCTCAATACCAAACTCCAAGGGAGGGGTGAGGACCTAGATTCAAATATTAATCATTCAGCCATATCAACTGCTTTCTCTATATATGCACCTTCTTAGAACCTTTGCTTTATGGGTGCCAATTTTCCTAGTTACAATTTATCTGTTTGTTTCCCACTCTGCATCCGTTTCTCCTTGCAATTGTTTAATACTGGAATGCCTCTGTCTGACTATTGCCACATTCAAACATCCCCATAAGATAGAGTTACAGTGCAGGATTTGGTCAAGATGACCCTCACAACAGGAGTCATCAGCCTTTTTGAGTTGTTGGGTACAAAATGGCTGCCCTGGAGGGTATGGTCAATTACAAACTACACATTTTCCAGAAGGCAAACTAGTGAGACTTAAGGAAAAGTGACCTTTAAAAAAAGAGCTACTTGGCCAAGAACCTTAAACAAAAAAAAGGTAATCTTCCCTCAGATTACCTTTTTTGCTTGGAAGCTGGCCATGCTGGACTGTAGCATTTCTATTTGCTAAAAATGTTCTAATCTGTAGGCCACATGGATCCCAAAAGTCAGCTTGAAAATGCAGATGGCACTGGAAGCTGGTGCTTTGCTTTACATCATAATTTCGTTATGTTAAATCATTTAAAATCTAAAAAACATTGCATTGTGGTTTTGTGTTTTTTATGAAGTGATATGAACTGCTCAAAAAACTTCAGCTACTGGGCAATACAGGAATGAAATTATTTTTTTAAATGGGAAGGTAGGCTGGTGGGCACCAGCAGAGGTGTCCACAGGCAGTACACTGGCAGGCTCAGCACCATAGAAAAGATTCCTCTAAGAAGAGGTTTCAGTCTGGGTGCCCTGAGGCAATACCAGTGACATTCTGGTGATGTTTCAGTGAGAGCTGAGATGGATCAAGAAGGCATAGGTAATGGGCAGAAATTATTCACCTGTCTTTTCCCCCTTTCCCAGTAGATAAGAGGAGGTGGTGACGCAGGTCTCTGTTGATTCTTGTTGGAAATGGGCTCAGAAAAGAGGCAGAGTGTTGACTTCCTGCTCTCTGCAAGAAATCCTGTGCTGTTATGAGTTTCCCTGAGATCTAGAATACTAATTTTGTAAACATTGCCCTGTGCTCAGCCTGCATAAATGTATAAAGAAATATTTATTACAGAAACTCCTTAAGCCTCCTGCAACCTTTTCCCCATGAAAACTGAACCCTGGTTAAGAACTGGAACCCCTGAAATGTCTCAGGGGAGAATAAATGAGCTGTCTTGGTTCCTTCCAAGAAGGAAAAGTTGGAATATAAATATAATAATAATGAAAAAGTAAATTTATGCATAATATGGTCTTTTACTCCAGGGCTTTTAAGGGACAATAATATTTGAATATTCTGGTGGCATTAATTTGTATCATATCACCTTGTTCTCAGCCTATCAGACAGGCCTAGATCTTGGCCAGGATCCTTCCAATGACTGCAATGACAACCAGCGAGAAGTACGTATCGTTGCTCAGAAAAGAGGACAGAATGAGGCCGTGCTGGGGGTTGATTATAGGCAGCGGAAGATTACAATCCAGAACAGTAAGTGTCCCTTGGCATGTTAGGGAAGAGTGCTGGTGAATGAACTAGGTTTTGTGCAAATTGTTGCTACTGTGCTGTAGCAAACTATGGTTCTGGCCATTCCACTCTTAAGTTTTGCAGGCTAGACTTATGGTCAGGACTTCATGTTACCATGTGAGAATGACAATTATGGTAGGGCAATAAGGATGTGTTGGGTTATTGTCTTCCCTACCCATCCTTTTTCCCTATGTTTTGTGCCCCTTTTTAGATTATAATACTCCTGGCAGGGACCATCTCATATGTGATTGTGTAACTGATTGTAAGCTGGAGAAGGTGGAGGTTGGCTGAGAAGTGAGATAAAAAATATTTTAAATAATGTTATTTCTTCCTTGATAGGAGCAGATCTTGTGATTAATGAAGTGATGTGGTGGGACCATGGAGTCTATTACTGTACCGTTGAAGCTCCAGGGGATACAACTGGTGACCCAGACAAAGAGGTCAAGCTAATTGTTTTGAGTATGTACATAGCACTGTTTTTGTTCTATAGGATTATTTGCTCTTTCTGTCCCTCTATTTTGAAGAACAAAGTATTGCAATAACAAGACTTGTACTCTAAAGATGTTTCCTCAGGGATATCTCCTGCTTAATACAGTGGTTCTTGATAAATATATTTAGGATTGCAAGCTGAAATGAACAATCTATGTGTATTTTTGGAAGTGAGCCAAATAGAAGCGATAGCTGCAATTCCATGTTTTTTAAACATGAAGTTGCCCCAGATATATAAAAAGAGGTAGCGATGCTCTGAATTAAACCAAATGGGAGCATGGTTTAGATCATAACCATGGAGTACCAAACTTTCTTTGTCCGTCTACAAAAACTTTCCAGAAGCTGTTCCTTCCTCACCAAAAATTTATTTGAACACTAATCATAGTGTAGTTTGTGCCCCATAATCAACAAACCTTTTCACCATCTGAGTTCATGATTTTAAAAATGCAGTCAGTGAAGGTTTCCCTGATACTGAGATGTGTTGGAAGAGCAGCACCTGGCTCGACTTCATGGTTATTGCTTATCAGCCTTCCCCAACCTCGTGTTTTCCAGATGTCCTGGATGGTACAAGGCTGGGAAAGGCTGACTCTTAGTCCTGCATTAAAAGAGGGAAGGGAAGACCAGTGTCCTCAATCCTTCATTCATGTTAAAAGGTAAGGTTTTGGAGCTATCTATTGGCTGCATAACCCTAATGCTGTTATTACATGAATGAGCTTGGACAAGCCTTGGACTTGCATGCTCTCCTGTCACTCTGCCTGTGGTTCACTCATGAGAAGATTGAAAGCTTTTGCCTCTGCTTTTAACCTACTGAAATTTAGCATTATGCCCAGACCCAGACAAACTTTTGGCACAAGTCAAATTCAATCCTTGGTTTATGAAGTTGTCTTGTTTCAATAAGCCATAATTAAGTTTAAATACATTTGACTTCTGTAATGCGCTCTACATGGGGCTACCCTTGAAGACAGTCCGGATACTTCAATTGGTTCAAAATAGAGCTGCCAGGCTGCTGACGGGGACTGGGCGTTATGTTCACATGACTCCAGTCCT